AATTGGATGATGGCAATCAACAAGACTGTCAGTACCTGTATTTCGTTCTGTATATAACGCTCATCATCTGTGTTCATCTGAAACCATGACGTAACATTTGTTCTCACTCTCTCTCTCTCTTTCTCGCTCTCTTCAGAGATATGAAATATGATTACTTACTGTTACGCTATAAAACCTAGCTAGATATATCCGCATGTGAAGCTTGTTAGTTAAGTAGATTCTTATAAATACTATGCATTACAAAAGCATGGTCTAACACATGATCAAGGTCATCTTTACTCATTTTACACTACAATAATTATAATATAGTGAATTGTAAGTACAAAGTTTATTTCATCCACTTAATTTTCGGAATGTGTTTTTTTCATAGATTTAACCACTAACTGATCTTAGCTAGATCATCATTGAAAACCTGAAAGTATTGGATGACCGTTCCTGCACTGGGCGATCACAAACTTGAGTGGTGTTTTTTCCCTCACAAATATTACGGTGACGATTATTTTTATCCATCGAAAATAAACAATCACATTTACGTCCCTCGTGACTAAATTAAGGTTGACCAGACAATTATACTAATTTTAAGCAAAAATTGATAGTGGCTAGCAGCGGAATACAGGACGCGCGTTTCGTCTTATTTGGGACTCGTCATCTGGATGTATCTGCATCCTAGATTCGATGTTTACTCAGGAACTCGAACACAGTATCATTCGCTTCAAATGCCATCACGTTATCCACTTAGCTACTGAGCCCTGATAGCCACTAGTTTGTGCAATGGGGTGAAGTTCAATTCATCTTTATACTGGTTGCTTGAATTTCCCCATTGATGTTTGGAAATTAGATTGATCAGTTTCCAGCTGAAGAGTTTCAAATAGGACGAAACACGTGTCCTAGTTCCCATTGTTAGTCACCATCCATCATTGCTTAGAATGATTGTAAGTTAAAGCAATATCGAGGTAATCCGTACAGGTTGCATATATGCCGATAAGAGACTGATAAATTACAGTCCTAAACATCAATAGGACGATTCAAACAAACAATACAAAATGTATTATACTAATTATTCCCATTTATTTTTCTTCGTCTGTCTTTCCAGTATATTCATTACTGTCTAATTATTTGAATACTTCTTGTAACTTATTTTAATACCTTTTAAATGAATGTTATTTCAATGTCCGTTTTCGCAAGTCTTTAATTTACATCCTATTATGAAACAATAATCATTCATGTACGGATTATTCTTATCACAACTAGTACACTTGTCATTACACTATCAATTTACAGTACTTACCTATTATGTTTAGTCATATAGTCATTTTTATTGTTATCATTGTCCTATCAATTCTCTTGATTGATTGAATAATTTTCTTTGTTTCAACCATGAAATGATCTTAGTTAGACAATAATTAAGAATCAGGAAGCATTGAATGATTGCTTAGTATTAGAATGGGACACTTCAACAACATACATCCATGACCCTGTAAATAATATTGAACTTGGGAACGTATTGACCACGGTGCCGGTATCCAATGGTGTACATGTCTAACTTTAACCAGTTCAATAATATCGCATGACTATCTTGCCATTGCCTGTAATGAATAATTATCTGATATCAGACACAGATTGAACTCCATTAGTCACAATTTCATATGTATATAAATATTTCTGCTTAATGAGAGTAAAACTCAATGAATACCTTATTCAAAACAATGTTTGTTCAATTGTACATGTGTTGTTTTAGTTTCAAATTTATTTTTAGAAACTAACCAAGAAGTATATAACAAGATTTCGAAATCATAATAATAATAAGACTGAATTTATTTGAAATATGGAGTTTTATTCTTTCAATCGAATAACAAAAAGGGGTTAGACTAATGTCTTTTAAACTAATTAGCTATGTAAAACAATTGTCAATTCATTATTCATGAATAAACAATGGTTAATTAATAAATGAGATTAGTATCTACTCATACATTAATATAAGTAATATCTTTTTTTCTAAAATGTAAACAAATAAAAAGGGGTTTTGTAGAGATTTGAGTAATGTTATAGTTGAATTTCTGAGTCAATTGAAACTAGACCATCATGGAAAACTTGAAAGCACTGAACTTGATATATGACTAGTAATGTTACCCAGGGAATTATGTTTCATTCTATTTATAATAGACTAACCAACTGGATATAACTCCATTCTAGTGTTGATGTTCATATTAAAACTTGAACCCAAAACCTTAGACATTAAATATTCAATTTTTTTCACATTAAACTATATCATTTCACATAATTATTAACTTATTAGATCAATTTTGAGTGTATTAAGAAGTAATTTGTTATTTTCAGAAGGCGTTTGTGGAGATTTTAGAAATTTCACAGATTAAAATCATGAGTCAATTGAAGTTAGACGACCATGGAAAACCTGGAAGCACTGAACGGCCGTCTCATTCTAGTATGGGACTCCTCAGCAGTGCGCATCCACGATCCCGCACCCCGCGAGATTCAAACACAGGACCTATCAGTCTCGCGCCTGGCGCTTAACCAAATAGACCACTGAGCCGGCCGGCATCCAATGGTGCTAATGTCTAACTTCAATCAATCCATACTAGGACTAAACGACCGTCCAGTGCTTTCAGGTTTTCCATGGTGGTCTAACTTCAATTGACTCATGATTTCAATCTGTGTAATTTGTTATTTCCAAGATAAATTTGCTTAAAATGATTACAGTTGACAACAGACATTAAAATCAATTATAACCTTCAATTTTAAACAATAACAAAAAATTATAAACTCCTACTATTAACAAACATATAACCAAATTTATTCTACTGAAATCAATATAAATTCATAAGGAAAGAATAGAGATTACCAATTCCAGTTTTACTGTATTATTTGAATAAGGGAATTAAGTGAAGACAATTTTTTTCAATGAAATCATTTACTTACGCTGTACATTCGTATTTATAGTTATATGGATAATATAAGTCTATGGAATAATAGGAAAGATTACATCATAAATTGGTTAGAGACTAAATATCAAATGAGGTTACCAATAATCAAGGGGTAGTGTAGGCATACAAGAAAGAAAATAATTGATGGGTCAGATAATTGTTCAGTTGATAGATATGAAGAAAAAGCAACAAACATAGATGGCATAATAATAATAATAATAAACTGAATAATAATCAAGCAAACTTTTCCAATGGTGGTCTAGCTTCAAATGACTCATGATCTCAACTATTGAAATTTCTATAAGGCAATAATAATAACTGATTAGAGTTTAAAATTGCAAATCAATAGTTTATACACTGTTAAGGCATTGGTAATTCATGAACTCAAGCTCGAACTTTGCGTGTAGAAACGATTTGTCCAACCTGTCATCCCTCCTTCACCATAATTAGTATGTTTCGGGTTTTTTTCCTTCTACACTTTTATTTGATTATTATTGATTTTCTTAAATTACTATTTTGCATTTTAACTACTAATCAGTTATTATTATTATTACGTTATACACGTTCGCTTCATTATTATTCAGTTAGACATTAACACCGTTGGATGCCAGCCGGCTCAGTGGTCTAATGGTTAAGTGCTCGCACGCGAGACCAGTAGGTCCTGGGTTCGAATCCCGCGAGGTGCGGGGTGGTGGATGCGCACTGCTGAGGAGTCCCATACCAGGACGAAACGGCCGTCCAGTGCTTCCAGGTTTTCCATGGTCGTCTAGCTTCAATTGACTCATCATTTCAACTTGTGACAGTTCGTTATTATTATTATTATGCCATCTATATTTGTTGTTTCTTCTTCATATCTGTCAGTTGAACAATTATTTTCTTCTTTACCCCTTGATTAGTACGTAACCTCATTTGATATTTAGTCTCTAATGTAATCTTTCCTATCCTGCTATATTATCCACATACGAATGTACAGCTTAAGTAAATGATTTCGTCGAAAAGAAAATTTTCTTCGCCGAATTCTCTTTTTCTTAGAAAAATTAATTTTTTACGATGAAAAAAAGGGATGAATGATACCATTTGAATTTCCATGATAAATAATACCTTTTTTGAAAATAAAGAAAAATCTATCATTTATGGTCAGATGTTATTAGTAAATCATTTCACCATATGTTGAATTTTTTTTCAAATACATTTAATATAAACAAACTTGTAATGATTTTTAACTGATTATTCCATTTTATTTTTCTATTGAGATCATGAACCGATCAATGTTAATCCATAATTAAAAACTTGGAAATACTGAATGATCATCTCGTCCTAGTATGGGACTGCCCAGGATTTGTGCAGTACTCGAAACCAGAACATTCAGTCATTACACGTGAATGCTTAACCTCTAGACCATTGATCTGGAATCAAACAATGTTAATGTCTAACTCTAACTAGTCTATGATATTGCACCCTATACTGATAAGGATTCAATCTAAAAACATAATACGACCGACTAATAAATGTATTCATTACATGTGTATGTGTACAATATTATAAGTTGTTATACGTTTGAAAGTGAACTAGTTACAAATGAAAAATCTTTTTTACTGAAATATTTATAGACTATAGTCGTTATAAATTAACTTCATCTTGGGTAATATTAAAAACTAAAGAATATTGAATAGCTATTTTATCATAACACTGAGCTCATCTATAGTACAATCTCAAAAGGAATCAAATGCCTAAATTTCATGACCTATTTAGAATAATTAATTATTAAAACTGTTTGAGATATAAAACAAAGAATATATAATAGCATTACTGATGACTGTTTCGCTCCAAATATATATATATATATATATATATATATATATATATATATATATATATATATATATATATATATATATATATATATATATAACCTATCAATTATGATTTCTTACTAAGAATTCGGAAATGTCTTGATTATTTAGTGAAAAGGTTGATCAATGTGTTAAATACGTAACAAAAACTAATTAGCATTTATTACAGTGTAAGAAAAGAAAGCAAATAACAACTATTGCTCACTTTTGTCATCCATCTAGCTTCTTCAGAATCAAATATAATATATGGTGAATCAACACGTACTAAACGTTTATTTGGGAATTGATTATGAAAATCTCTTGTATCTAATGGTCCACTAGCTTCTAAATTACTTTCTAATTGTTTTGGTTGATATTCACCTGGTACAAATACATGAGAACGTGTACGTATTGGTGTACGATAAAACATTGATGATTTCATACATCCTTGAAGAATATTCACAGTATAAATTGTTAATAAAATGATTAATAATAAACAATGTGATTGATACATAATTTAAATGTTATTGCATTATGATATAATAATACTATCCAATGAAATATTCTTTATTTCTTTTCATAATTAAATATACCGATTGATAATGAATCCAAGACTATGGGGTTATGTATACAATAGAATAATTAAGTGGATTGTCATCGAAATGAACATTATCGATGAATAACAAAAAAAAGTCAGAATGAATTATTGTAAACACACAAATTAAATACTGTATGTGTATTTGTTTAGATGTGTCAAGTTTCTCTGTATATATAATTCATTTGCGTGGGTACATTATATTAGTTTTTTTGAAAAAGAAAGATATATTTTAATCATCATTTTCAATTCACTTATATCATTGTAATTTTGTCTCTCAAACAGTATGTTAGTGAATTTCATAGTTAACACAATGTAGGCTACCATTCATTGTATATATAATACTGATACATGTATCTATTAGTTAATCACAATAGGGTTGTTTTTTTCCTTCTTCTGTTAGCTATGCCAGTGATGACATAATTTCTCAGATAATTTTCTAAAATCCATACTAATTTAACAAAATATGTTTATATGTAGATAATGTTTACCTCATTGTGAGGTTAACACTTTTAGCGTATAAAAGCGTCATGATACATATGAAGTAGAATATTATGTTGCCACCTACATTCTCTTATATGGAATAGATACACATCATAGATAGATTTTATAAATATGAACTGACCCCCCTATCTCTTATGGATATGATTGGCTGAATTTTCCATACGGCCAGTTATACATTAACCAATCATATCTGAACTGTATCGTCAATTGAAAGGGTTAGAATGTTCAAAATAACGAGTAGGTGTATTTACTGAACGCAGATAGACACACATTCTAAGTGACATCCAAAAAAAATTTTTTTTTGAATCTCTATGACACAAAATTGGTCAATGGCTAGTTTAATGTTTTACCAAAGTACGTAATCATAAGCTAACTAAAAAAAAATTACATAATACTGGACGGGTTCATAGTCGATTTTACTTGTTAAGGAAAGTGTAAAAACTATTTTTTTTTCTAGAAAAAAAAAGCCAGAATAAAATGAAAAATCAAAATTTCAGTTTATGTACATTATGCTATTCGTTTTTTTTTGAAAAACGATTTAGTTATCTACCTTAAAACTCTATACACCATACAGATGTCAAAGTATACTTACTTTAAAAAACTAATGACTATTGGTTAATAATAACACTTAGGGAAAATTCCCTTGATTTAACTTAGATTTAATGTAACTTTACCATGTTTCACTAATATTTAGTTTGTCCTTATTTTAATCATACACTATAAAAATGATTCCAATGAACAGACAAGAATAAAACTAAATAAAAATCACTTACTATTGGTTTTTCCGAACATGATTTTTAGAAATAAGATTATATTTACACATATTACTGCTAAGGCGTCCCACAATAGGACGAAACGGTCATCCAGTGCTTCCAGGTTTTCCATGGTGGTCTAGCTTCAATTAACTTATGATTTGAATAAGAGAAATCCAATTGTCAAAAATCTACAGAATAATTCATTATAATCCTATGGTGAATAATGAATTTCAAATTGTCTGTAAATACTTAAAATATTAACTTTGCTAATTAAACATGATAATAACCAACGTAACATGGGCAAAAAATGAGAGTCTTTTATGTTAAATGCTTTATATATCATGTTAGAATGGTATTGATTTAAGTCTGAGATAAACATACAAATGATTATGATCTACATGTGAAACTTATAATATTTTTCTTTCAAGGAACAGATTATGATTGAAGAAATAATCAATAATAATGAACAGAGATAAACATTCATATGACGAATTTGTAAAAGCTTATATCGTTCTGTTGTGTATTGTGAAGGGTTGAAATTAATCAGTTTCTTTCAGTATTGGTATGTCATCAACCCATTGATTGAATAGTAGTTAGCAGTGGAATCTAGAATTCCGGTTAATTCTACTTCGAACTTATCTAAATGAATCTGCTACACTCCAATGTTGATGTTCACATTAAGATATTAACATAGAATCTTTCAAGATCAAAATCAACACATTATCATTTGTATTACTGAATTCAGATGGCTACTAACTAAAAATACCGAATTCAAGTATCAACCTGAAAATTAACCCTAAGATGTGCCAAATCTTTTAATCTGAAGAGTCCTATATAGGATGACACAAGGATATCAAATTGCTTTTCTATTTACTAGGGCACTTAAAAAGACAAGACTATCTACTATATTTTAGATGCCTATCCCAAATCTCTTCGCTGATAATATCCGGTAAATTTTTAATCTGATAAAAAATTCAGACTAGTGTTCATAAAACATCAAAATAAAATCGTATTATTGAAAGTTTAGAGATAAAGGTCTCATGATAATAAAGAGGAATGAAATTGTGAAAAGTAGGATACGAAACTAGTTACTTTGTTCAACCTCTTGATTGTACTAATGAAACTTAATTTATTTTGAAGAGAAATAAGAATTTTTCTTAAGAACCATTATTATTATTATTATTATTATTATTATTATCATTATTACTAAGGGTAATTGACACTTAATATATGGTAGAGTGATAACTTATCACTTCGTAAAACATACTTAATTCTGTTGATCTGAAAAATGTGATGTATTTGCGCTATACATTTCAAACAATCTGGTCACACATATACTTATCAGCACCTCCAAATGCCCTGGTACGGCAGAGAGTGGGGAGAGTCCGCTCTCCCTCTCCAAATGCTCCTACATGGCCACGCGTATATTGCTTCTGCAAGAGAAGTCCTACTCACTGAATTCTTGTGGCGGGGGTGTTGGTTCACAAAACTGAGAGGACGAAAAGCGAATATCCGATGCTTCAACCGGGTTGGTGGACATGGAGAGTCTAATTAGGGGAGTTGGAAAACCCTGATTCCAAACCAATGGTGCACATGGGCTCCAGTATCCTGAAGGAACAAATGGCGTATGAACCAATCGTTGGTCACCGGCTACCATGGGACTGTATCTTCCTACTTCGCTCCACTGCCTTGTGGCTCAGACCTTCATGTCAGAGGCTCCGGGTGTGGCCCCCTAAGAAAACCATCTGCTTCGGTTTTGGCACCCGGACAGTAGACAGTATCACAGCCCTCACACATATGAAATGAGATTTATGTGGTGCATATGTATTTGGTACCTTCTTTTACCAATATCTATGCGTTAAAATAAATAATTACTTATCAGGGCATTTTATATGAAAATTAATAAAGGTCCATTAAATGAAAGTTCAAGTAAAAAGTAATAAAGGGGAGAGAAACAATTTTACATCGTATAGAAAGATTAAGAAATTGTCGCATTATCCTAAGCCATAGAATGATTTTAAAATGACGAAGGTAAATTCAAGGTAACGACAAATTGTTTTTGTTCTATCGAAATTTATAAAAGGGACTAATTGTTTTAAATACTTAATTCTACTCTGTAAATGAAATAGAATTTCATTATACTTTCTAATATGACAAGTCGATTCTATTCATTGTTTCCTGTTATTTTACAACGGTTATTCTCGACCAAATTTATTTCTTCTACACATTCATTGTATTTAGTAAAATATTGGATGAATATGTAAGTTTCAACTGTAAAATGGTTGAACACTAGAACTAGAGAATGTTGAATTTTATAGTTTCTATATCAAGGACTGGATCCTAGTTTAATAATCATTTTAAATTAGAAAGTACAGAACATCTGTTTATTCATAGAATTAAACAACTGAATGCTCTCCACGAGACGCAAAGTTTCTGGGTTTGATTTTCTGTGATAGGATCGTAGATGAAGATTGTTAAAGAGTCCCTTATTCAATGAGAATAGCTGTCCATTACTTTCTTGGGTCTTATAGGTTCTCTAACTAATGTCAGTTAGTGATACGAATTGGAAGAACAGTCACTGGTAGACAAATTTATTGTTTAAGCAACACACTTTTAATGCATTGTACTATTAAACAGTTTTCAAACCAACAATCCCTTAAATGGCATTTATTTACCTCACGAAAAAAAATTCGATCTCAGATTAAATATAAACGATTCTAAACTATTAATAAACTTTTAACATTATTTTCGCAATTATTCTTAACTGTTTTATCATCATCATCTTACAATGAAGTCTTGGTATCAGTTATTTAAACAAGAAAAAAGACAACTGCTTAAATTTTAAAATGGTTGGAGGTAGTCGACGGTCAACTCCGATAGCTCAGTGGTAACGTCTCTGACTGTGAAGCTGGGTGACACGAGACCGAATCCGCCAGGGAGCACCAGTTCCCTCAAGATTACAGGTACACCTTGCTGACGAGTGCCAAGTAGCACGAAACCCAGGTCCAGGGTTTCTTGTTGACTTCCTCCAACTGCCATCTAAAAGAGTTCATATATCCTATGCTAATTGATTGACTGTTAACGATTTGGGTTATCCTCATGTAAATTAAAAGAAAAAAAACTGTCCAAAATCTTACGGACTAATCAAATTTAGGCATTAATAGAAGAACTTGTTATCTTCACTATCTCTGTAAGTCATGATAATTAGCATGCTTGACAGTCAAACTATAGTATACGAATGAATAATAATTCGGAAAAAGGTTTTTAGGTATTTTAACAACATTCAAATATCTCTTATAATGAAAAGTAGAAATAGCTATGGATACCGATGAAAACATTTAAAATGATAACATAAAACTATTTTTTGTTGTTGTTGCGAAAATCGATTGAAAATGATAGTGTTAAACGTATCGGATCTTCAGTCCTATTCCTGGAGGTTATGCATAGTAGGCGAATCAACATTATCTCCAAATCGTAAACACATAATCCTGAAATGAACCTTAATCTATTAGGATTACATTTCCTTGGAAATAAAGCTTTTTGTGAGAAATCCACTCATTTATATGGCAGTGTAGTGAACAGGGGACAATAGGATGCATGTGACACAAACTTAAAGAACTTGTTAATGAAATCTAACAACCATAAAGTAAATGCTTAATTTGCAAGATGTCCACCACTTGTCACAAAAAGTCTCAGACTTCATTGCTCTTGCATTTTCACATAAATTGTATCCTGCTTCCATTCTTTACTGTTCGATCCTCTTGTCTCTCTGCTGCCAAACCTTCTGTTCACGACTAACATCATATACTACTTATGTCAATATAAGTAGAACACACCACAGTAGTAGAGTAGTCTTTTTAACGTTTATCAGTTTGTTGTAAAAAATCTAACATTTAATGCCCATCCCTAACTAATAACAATGTAGGGAATCTTAAAAATGTATTCCTGTCCATTCAAGAGTTCAAGAAGATGGAAAATCTTTATTCATAAGAATGATTTTGCATAAATCACTGTTCTTCTTGATTTACAGACAGAATTTCCTGTAGAGAGCTTTAATAGATTTGCTAATTTTATAAAAAATATATGTTAATGTTCTATAGTATTATTGTTTTATTTTCCACCAATTATCCGCTTAATAAGGTTATGTTTGTGGTCGGCTAATAACCGGC